CCGAGCGCCCTGTGTTAGCCACACAGAACTACTGATGCATTTCTACATCAGTCTCAGTTTCCTCTGTGCATTTGCTCAAAATATTCTCCCAATTTGAGTGTCCTTATATCTGTCCAACTTTTCCTTTTCTTTCCACTACATTCTTGGCCTTTACTACCAAGTGAAATATTGGCTTGTAGTAAAATGTGACTTCCTAATATCTAGTAAAAATAAATACTAGTTCCTCTAGAATTGGAAACTGTGACCGAAGACCTATGGATTATCAGTTTCAGCCTTTAGTTACCAACATCTTCATCAATACTATTATATAAAAAGCAGAGGTTTCCACAATATTGATAGGGACATCTACCTAATAATGTCATTACTTATGAGAGGGAATTAAACGGTGTGGATTAATCTAGTTCTGAGAGACAGTTGAAAGATCACAGAATAGATATCAGTGATCCATTGCAAAAGGACAATCAAATCAATTCAGCTATTTACACTGATGCACAAAGAAGGAAAAAATGAAGCAATCCTTTGGTCACATGACCCTCAGTTCTTTCTGATTATGCAACCAAGGCCAATTTAAATAGTCATAGTTGACTCATTCATCCTAGAAGTACTGTGAATCTTTTATATCAGAGGTCTTTATTGTCAGAGACTTTCTAACCTACATGTAAAGGGCATGATTTTGGAATTTATGTCTTTGTGTGGGGCAGGCATAGTATAGAGTGTTGAAGCAAGGTGGCTCTCTCCTCTTCCCTTAGTGGAAGTTGTATGGCAGGTTGCTCTGCCTTCTCATCTTACCTAAACAGTGAGGAGACTTCTCTTTCTTAATGTACTACTGAGCTTCTTTAGTGGATGCCAGTTGATTGCCCACTATGAATCCAGCACTGTGCTGTGCCATGGGAATAAACAGCCCCTTTGCTGAGGAGGTTATGATCAAGTGAGGGAGACATACACATAAACAGATAATTTTATTACAGTGTGCTACAAGTGAAGATAAAAGCACATTCACATCTATGGCTGCAGAATTGAATTTTAAAAAATGAAAAGGTTTTGCGGACTGTGTGCCCCATGTATCATAGTCAATTTGAACAACTTCAGTTCTGGATTATTAATAGTAGAGTCACCAAATGAGCATATTGATCATAAAGACACTTTATGTGAACTACAGAGGTGAAACAGTTTTGGTGCTCTGGATAATATTAGAGTGCCTGAGGAACTAGAAAATGGCTGAGGTGACTAGGCAAACATTTTGCAACCTTGTGAACAAAGTCACGAGGTGGGGATAAGCAGAGGTTTTATTCAAGTTATTATGTGAGTGTTTGAAATTTGGACCCCCTAGAAGATATCACTTATTCTTCCCTCATGATCCAGAAGTTAGAATACCAGCTATGTTTAGCATATAATAAAAAAGACCCAATGATTGGTAACAGGGTCCTGCTTCATTCTGCTAGTATCTAAGTCAGTGACACTGTTAGTGGACACAGAGAATAAGCTGTGAGCATGATGGGAAATATCTCACTGGAGGTAGCTGTGTGGTATATTAGAGAGATTAAGGAGTAGGTATAGATCTGGATTCAAATCCTGACTTTTCCACTTATGGGGTATGTGAATCAACAGGCAGCGTCAGCTCCATCTGTTTTCTTACCTATAACATGGGAGTGATAGTGGCATTCATAGCATTACTGTGGGAATTAAATAAGATTATATACTAGAGGAGGATTGTTGCTCAATACTGTAGTTCTCTCTCCTGAAATAATATAAATGCTGGAGAGGAACAGCTGTTTCTAAATAATTTTAAATTTTCTTTTTTAACTTGGGAGTGTGGATATTACATAGCCAAAAAAGCAAGATCTGGAAGTTAAAAACAACAATAAAATAAGTGTATGCCAGCCCTTCACAAATCACTTATTAAAAAAAGATTTGAGGTCATATGTATTCAGTGTTATACTTGCTGCCTTGATTGTATGTATGCACTGTGGGAGGGGAGGTGGTGGTGGCAACCATACTAGAATTCTTCACTGGTAAGAGAAATAGCATGGTAACCTGTTATAGCAACTTCTTAAATGATAACCCTGTCTAGTTCTGATGGGCATGTGGGAACTATTCCTTCTTCAAGACTCACTGGCCCTTGAGATGATATTTGTGAATTTCTCTTGTGGCGGTGGTCTGTGGAGACTTCCAAAGGTGTTGCATGACATTGAGTTGACAACTGACGTTCTTGCACATTGAATATCATGAAAATGCATTAGATTCATTTTGTTCTTCAATACTTGCTCTGTTCTCTTTGGTGCGAGAACCACACATGTCGGTCTCTGCAGCCGTAGTGTGTGATGAGCCTCATTAAAAAAACAAAAATGAAAACAAGAGTCCTATGAGAGTCACCATTCCTAGGCGAGCTGAGCTGTATGCCCTGGGAATGTATATTTCAGAGTGTTCACAAAGATCACAAGGGACTTGAAATTGCTTAGAAGGCTTATGAATCCAAGGCACAGTGACTATTTGGCTGAATTTTATTATAGATACTTTTGCATGTTAAGATTGCTTTTCTAAAATAGTTATGACAAGTCTTCATTACTTAGATTGTGGGTTTAATTGGTATTTATCAGCCCAGAGTATTAGATTGGGTCTTGGGAAACTTGGAGCCTATTCTTAGATCTTCCATTGACTTAGAATTGCATACTTAGGGCTTGTGTTGTGGTCTTTGTACTTTCCGCCATGTGTAAAATGAGAATATTTATCAATGGATACTTTTTTCCAAAGTGTTCAGGATTTTTGAATAATTTTTTCACATATGTATTTTTTTCTGGGCTATAAGAATATGTATTACAGCGTTAATATAATTGCCTCTAGACAAGAATGTGTCTGCAGAAGACATTCAAAGGATGATATCCCTGGGACTGGGCCCTGAGTCTGCTCTCTAAGTAGGAAAAGTGCCTGGAGCTGATCAGGCTTCCTGCAGGGGATGGTGATCAGGCCCTGGGGTTAGACATCAGAGGCTCAGTTCAGAGTTCTCCTGCTAGGTGACTTTGGGCAAGTGACAGAGGCTGTGTGAGTCTCACTTCCCTCCTGGTAAAATGAAGTGGTGATTATGAAAATAACTTTCAGGGGGTTGTTTTGACAAAAATGACATCATGATGCATGCAGACATCCACCACAGAGCCTGGCATGTAAAGTGCTATATGCTTTGTGTATTAGTCCGTTTCTGTTGCTTATAACAAAACACATGGACGTGGGTGATTTAAGAAGAAAACAAAATTTATTGCTTATAGTTTCTGAGGCTGGGAAGTCCAAAGTTCAGGGAACACATCTGGTAAGAGCCTTAGTGATGGCAGAGTATCACGTTGTGAAAATGGTGGTGGAGCAGAGAGAGCAGAGAGAGATGAACCTGCCATGTGCTCTTCTTTTAAAGCTCTTAGAACCGTGCCCCTGACCACCATTTTTAATCCATTCACTAGTCCTACAATCTAATCACCTCTTCAAAGACTCACCTTTCAATTATCATGATATGGTTTCCCACTGTCGCAACAGTCACAGTGGGGATTAAGTTTCAGTGAGGTTGGGGGGTGGGCATCCAGTCTACAGCACTTTGTAAGGGTCCTTCTTTCTTTTCCCTTTTTGAGTTCTAGAGAAATTGGGAAAGATGAAAAATAAATTGGCAGATGGTGATTGATTTATTGCCTTAATTATTTTAGTTACCCAAGATTTAACCAGCTTTGTTACTGAAAAAGCAGATGTAGCTTAGTCTTGGAGCCAAATGAACTCATCACAACTGAACCCCAGAATTAAATAGACTTAACCACCCACTCATAAGCCCTGATGGACCTAGGCAAGCCTCCCCATGTGGGGGTTACTGCTTGTGATTTTTAGGGGCAGGCTGGCTCCCACAGAGGAAAGAGGGAGGAGTTGAGCAAGACTTTGGTGGTGGGGCCTGGACATTTGCATTTTAAGGCAGCTATGCTTCCAGCACACATCCAGGTTAGGACCCGCTGCTGTAGGCGTATTACATATTCTGCAGAGCCTTCGTTCCTTTGCGTATGCCTTTATCACTGCCTAGATTGAGCCTCCTTGCCTTCTTCACCTGGGAAAAAGTTCCTATTAATCCTCCAACCTCAAACTTGGGCATGTCCTCCTCTGTGAAATCTTCCTCTTTCTCCTCACTCCCCAGAAGCGTGGGCAACTAGTCTACCATGGACTTAGCTATTTCATGAAACATATTCTGCGTTGAAATTATTTGATAACTAGACTGCAAACATTTTTATGAAAGTTCATACACATATACACATTTGTCCATACATAGAACAAGATGTGAAAGTATACCTACCAGATTATTAAGCAATCATAACTCTGAAAAGAGGGATTTGGGCAGAGGAGGATGTTTATTGTTTATTTTTGTTAATGTGTGCTCAGTCTACTTCTATTCTATTTCTATATTGTTTTAATTTTAATTTTTTTAATTTTTAGTTTTTAAAAATTTTTTTGGCACTGGCCAGTATGGGGATAAGAACCCATGACCTTGGTGTTATCAGCACCGCTCTCTGACCAAGTAAGCTAACTGATCAGCCCTGTTTTAATCTTTAAATGGCACTGCATTATAATTGTAAGATAAAAGTAGTAATCTAATAGAGGAAAAGTATTGCATTGGTTTTGTGCTCTGTGTTTCCTTCTGAGGTGACTTCTACATATCCTCTCAGTCATTATCCCAATTTGGGGCTGTATTCTGCCCTCTTGTGCCCTTTCTTCTCCCCCTGCTCTTCTATTCTTCTTTCCTAAATCCCCAGAAGATCAGAAGTGTGATTAGATTATAGGAAAGGGACAGTATTAATATTCCTCAATCTCAGACTTGTCTTGGTGCCATAAATAGGAACAGATATCATCTTTTCCAAATACCTCTTTATTGAGCTGTTATAAATCTGCATAGATAACAGGAAGAGAATGACTGCTTGTTTGCCTGCTCTAACACTATGTATCTTTTCTTATACAGGTAAACTACGGAATTGAAGTTTTGAAGGATGGGTAAAGACTTTCGTTATTATTTCCAGCATCCCTGGTCTCGCATGATTGTGGCTTACTTGGTGATCTTCTTTAACTTCTTAATATTTGCGGAGGACCCAGTTTCCCATAGCCAAACAGAAGCCAATGTTATTGTTGTTGGAAACTGCTTTTCATTTGTAACAAATAAATACCCTAGAGGAGTTGGCTGGAGGATTTTGAAGGTGCTTCTATGGCTACTTGCCATTCTCATAGGACTAATAGCTGGCAAATTTCTGTTCCACCAGCGTTTGTTTGGTAAGTACCATCACCTGTGAAATGTAATGTTGCTAATTACTTAATTTCTATTCTCCAAGATAGAGCTTTGTTATTTCCAAATGCCAATTTAGGGTGCATTTGAGTTTGTCCTCCAGCCTCAATCTGTTATGCGTACTTGTACCTAGGTTCTTAAACTATTCTCTGTTTAATGGTGTGCTCTTTCTGCTGCCTAAGGAAAATTAGCATGAGATTAAAAGTAGTGCCAAACTTCATTAAAGAAAATGGCTTTAGAGATAAAATGAATGTGTGTATAATCTTATTTAGACAAGACATGAAAATAGTTATTTTCTTATAAATAGTACCTAAGTTTGGTGTAATAGTTTGCAAATCCTAAAGAGAATGACTCCATATCATACCACATTTTCATCAAAGTTAATCATTGCCCATGTACTTACACATATTGTTCTTTCAGGGAATTAGAACCAGAACTCTAACATCTTCCCCTCATTTACTTATTGAACGTTAGCTTTAGGATGTTTATTTTGAGCCTATTCACCCACAGAACAGGATATTATTAAGGAATTTTTAGTAGTAAGCACCAAAAAAGAGACTAAATTAGTTTAAATGAAAAATATCTTTATAGTATGCAACTTATTATAAGGATGTTGGGATATTTCACAGAGACCAAGACTAGAATTAATTTTGGACATTGGGATAAATGGAACAAGGAGCTGAATCCTATCAGTATGCTCTTTGTTTCATCTTCTCTATCACTTCTGCTTTATTCTCTTCTCACCCTGATGATCAGTTTACGTCTACCCGGAGAGACTGGTTTGGCTATCTTGGTCCCAAGTTTAAACTTTCAGAAAAGGTCTGAAGTTGACCAAGTTTGGGTGTGGTTTCCATCTCTGGCCTAGTTGATTTTGGAGAAGGGATAGGTGATATTTATTCAACAAATATTCATTGATCACTTATTACATGCCAGACACTATTCTAGACAAGAAATCAAACAAGCAAGGTCTCTGCCCTCATAAAAACTTACCACCTACAGGAGAAAGAAAGATTAAACAAGTAAATATACAGTACATGAATAGGTGATAGGTGCTGTGGACTGAAATCAAAGCTGTCCAGGCAGAAATAATTTTTTAAAGGTTTATTGAAAGCCACGCTTGAGGATTGACCTGGGAAACATAAGCCAACAGAGTTGGAAAGTGCTCTGAAATGTACTACAAGCAAATGCATTTTATAAGGGAGTTTCAAAAGGGAGGCTTCGGTGGCGCACTGGATGGTGCGCCGCTTGGGAAGCGCGGTGGCGCTCCCGTCCGAGGGTTCGGATCCCACATACCGACCGGCTCCCGCTCACTGGCTGAGCGAGGCGCAGGAGCAACACCGAGGCTTGCGATCCCGTTGCCGGTCCCCGGTCCGGTACGGGGGCAACACTGAGGGTTGCAATCCATTGCCAGACTCGGAAAAAAAAAAAAAAAAAAAAAAAAAAAAAAAAAAAAAAAAGGGAGGCTTCAAAAAGGAGATTTTAAAAGGGAGGGTAAAAGCTCCAAGTACAGTTGTCCTTTTCTCACGGAACACAAAATTCATAATCATTGGTTACTGATTATAACATGGGAGCCGGAAGCATCTACCTGCAACCTGAAACAGAAGTTTCATGCTTCAGCTATTCTTAACTATGTCTAAATGGCTTATTCAGAACCAGCACGTTATACATTAATCAATAAATCAGCAGTTCTAATTGCATAACATTGTTTATCTTACAAACAAGATGTCAACACCGAGTTCATGAGACTCATCCCAAGGCAGTGAGTTTTGGAAAACCTGCTTCAAATTTTGGTTGTTTCCTTCATCAGTGCTGTGGGAGAAAAGGAAGCACAGTAGTTTTAAATGCTGCAGCTGGGTCAATTGGGAAGAGACTTCAATAATAGAAATTTGGATTTAGCAGTTATAAGATCATAGCCGACTTAGTGAGGGTATTTCCAGTTTAGAGATTGGCAGTGTTTTAAGGAATAAGTAAATACACACACACATTCAAATGTACATACATTACACATAATATTACATATATATCCTCAATCTTTATTCCTCTAACTATTGCCATCTGTTTCTATTACATTAATATATAGAATGCACATATTTTATACTTACCTATGTGTATATATGTATAGTATACACATATAATGTCTATATGTACATAGCCTCAAGAAGTTTGGTGAGGAAATGGAAGAAAGAAATGAGGAAACAACTAAAAAGGACCAAGGGAATATTTTGTTGTTGGTAGTGGTGATGGTGGTAGTTTTATTTGGGGGATGAGATTAATTGACCTGCCTATAGTTGTGGGGGAAGGTGCTAGATTAAAGTACAGATAAGTTAAAGATATAGAAGAAAGACAGCATCTCTGAAGGTTTCCTTGGTCTGGGACTTAGGACACAGGTAGAAATGGTGGCCTTAGGGAGTACAGGCGGAGAGACCCTGGTTCCAAGATATGGGCATGAGTGAGATAAAGTTTGGGGCTGTAATAGGTAGATTTGAGGTGGAGGAGCAGGAAGGTGAGTGTCCTCCCACCTGATAACCTCTATTTTACTATGAAGAAGAGCTGAAGATAAAGATGGAGGGGTTTGATGATGCAAGGTGTTTAAGAAAGTGGTCAGGGTTTGGAACATAGGCCCTAGGGAGTGTGGAAGTGAACTGACTAGCTACCAGTGAAAGGGTTGCTGAGAGCCAATATAGATTTGAATGAAACCAACCTGAATTGCTGAGCAGTTTTTTCTTTGAGAGCTCAGTCACCTGGAACAGAATTTGAGAGTGATTCATTTGGGTGGGGACTTGCTTAGGCTTGCTGTATTAGAAACAAAGGATGGAAGATAAATGGAGAGTTCTAGTAAAAGGGTTATTGGTTTGATTAACAGGGAGTTCTGGCTGGACATGGAAAGAAGGTGATGGTCTGGGAGGAGTAGCAAGAGCCTGAAGATTTAGATGACACTGAACAGGAGAAATGGGAGTAAGAAAAGAAAAAGGATTGGTGGGTGTGGTCGGATGACATGTTGTAACAGAATTGCTGCCATTCTTTAGAGGTGATTCTAAACAAGGGTGTGGTCTTTAGAGAGTGGGTGCTAAAGTGGAGTGGAGAGACAGGTCCTTGACACAGAGGATATGTAGGAACTGGATGTTAGTTGTGTCATCCACCAGACATTGAACAAACATGGTGTCTTGCATAGTAATCATATGGATAAAAGCGGTTAAGAGTGGGCTGTGAGTGGGAGAGGGTCAGTTTCCAAAAATGGATAGAGGGTGCTGGGCAGACAAAACAATAGATGTTCATTCCAAGTAATGGCTGTTTGTAACCTATTCAGGAATTTTTCTCAATTTAAAAAGCTAAGGCAAAGTTAGAAAAAAATATCCAGTTTGGAGAAAAGTTATTTGCCCTTATGGTTAAAGTAATGATATTAATAATAAGAGCAGTTCATTTGGTATTTTGATTACTACATTTTGTTAAGTTACCCTATTGCAAACTCTTACCTCATGTTAAAGTCATAATTAAATCATGGCTTACATTTTAATTCTCCTGTTGGTATAAGTAAGTCAGCCCTGAAAAAGCACTTTAGGTTTCAGGTGGTTTCCTGAGTACAAATAATTTTAAAATAATGCAAAAGTGCATCCTAATATATTTTTTCTTACAATAGAAAAGATTCTATAATGTAGTCAGTTTTATCACTTCTATTTGGCAATTTTCTTTTCCTTTTTTTTTCCATGCTAAAAATCTTTGAAATTATATGGGTATTAGAGAAGGAATGATAACCGTCTGCCAATCTTGGTGAGTGAGATAACTGCAATCCTGATTCAATTTCCTAATGGACTCCTCCTTGTTTCTCCCTTCATCTCCCTTCATGGCCATTGTTTCTATCTTGGTTCACAAACTCTTGATCATTTCCTCCTAATAGTTCTCTCCTCCAGTTCATTTGGATTTTGCTGCTGGAATAATTTTTTACATTGCTAAATGGCTCCTGCCACCTACAGAAGAAAACCTAATTCCTTTAATTAATATCCAGAGCTCTTTACAATCTACTCCTGTCAGATTGCAAACCAGGCCTTTTGACATTCCACATGTGCAGAATTATTTGCTGTGTTCTTAAACTTGCCATGTTGTCTCATGCCTCTGTGCCTTTGCATATGTACTCTCCTGTGCCTGTCATGCTCGTCCCCTCCTGTCAACTTGGCTAATTTCTCTTTTTCCTTCAAATCCCACTTCCAGCATTATATCCTCTGTGATGCTTTCTCTGACTCTCCCCTGTAAGACTTCAGTTGTCTTCTTTCCAGCTCCTGCTGTGACCACTTGCACCAAAGAGAATACAGCAGGGTGCTCTGGAACTGACAGCCATGCAGCACTATGGAAAGGAATCCAAAATTTAATGCAAACATAAACATTCTTTTTGGGCTTGGTATTTGATAAATATCTCCACCCCTGTTCTCAAGTAACTAGAATCTACCCATAATTCATTTTTTAAAAAATCCCGTTAACATTTAAGCCTTTAACAATTTGTAGATGCAAGCTGTGGCAGGTGGTGGTGATGATGATGGTGTATATATGTTGGGAGCAGTGGGATTGTTAATTACAAGCATTGAAATTTTTGTTGCAGAAATATTGGACTGGTTAACAAAATAAGAATCAGTTTGTGATATCAATTAAACGTTTCATTTTTTTGTAATTCTCTAACAAAATGCTAAACATAGATATTAAAAAGATCCTAATACCCCTTTCATTTCATTGACTTGTAGGTCTTCCTTCACTTATTATGGAAAGTCTCTTCTTAGTAGGTTCCAAAAGGATAGCACAATGTCAACAATTTAAAGCATGTGTGAGGAGGAGTGAATGATTCTGTGAGCATATGATTTGCTCCAGTACATTGGTTATCAATTTATTTTTCTGAAGATGTATTTTGTTAGCCACATAATTTAGGATCACAAGTGAAATCAAAAATGATACATTCAGAATAATTTCTTTAATTTTAAAAGTGGATCTTGTTGAAGTGAGT